ACCGGGGAAGAGGGCGGGAATGCGGCATGGAAGGGGTTAATTCCCGCCAAGGTTAACCCCCCTAGGTTTAACCCGCTCTCCCTGGGTGACCCCCCCTCAGGGTTAACTCACCTTCAGGGTTAACTACCCTTACTTAGGTTTAACCTCCCTCAGGTTTAACCCCCCCCACCCGCCATGGGGTGACCCCCACCCTAGAGTTAACCACCCATAGGTTTAACACCCTCCTATGGGGTGACCCTCCCGTGGGGTGACCCCCACTAGATTTAAGCCCCCCTAGTTTTAACACTCCCCCCGTAAGAGTGATGCCCCCTACGCCTAGGGTTAATGGCTCTCCAACACTACCCCGGGGTCCCTGGGTTTGTGGTGGAATTCTGCCCATCAGCAGGAAAGTTCCCACTCCCCGTGACACCCAAGGGGTTAATGCTGCCCCCCTTCTTTGGGGTTAATACTCCCCTATTTGGGGGTTGATTTAACTTCTCTTTGGGGGTTAATCCTGTCCCTTCGATGGTAAATTTATCCTCCTTGTTTGGGTTAATACCTCCATCTTTGGGGTAATACCCCCCTTTTTGGGGGTTGATTTAATCCCTTTTATTTGGGTTAATTCAGTCCCCCCTCCTTTGGGTATTAATTCCACCATCTCCTTGAGGGTTAATTAATACCCTCTGCCTTTGATGATTAATTTTGCGCCCCTCTTTGGGGTTATTGCCCCCCCCTCTTTGGGGGTTAATTCCATCCCCTTGAGGGTTCATGTCCACCCCTCTTTGGGTGTTAATTGTGCACCCCATGGGGTTTAATGCCCCCCTCCCCCTTTGAGATTTAATTCTGCTCCCCTGGAGGGTAAATGCCCCTCTTTTTTTGGGGAGGGGGTGGTTAATGCTCCCCCCATAGGGGTTAACGTCCAACCGCCGTGTCACCCTGGGGCTCAGTGCACCCCCTCGGGGGTTATGTGGCCCTCATGGCAGTTAACCTGATCCCCCGTGGCACCGCAGGGGTTAATGCCGCCCCCCCCCCATGGCTGTTAATGCCCCACATCGGCACTTTCTGTTCTGCCCCCATCGGGGAGGCCCCGTGGGCGATAACGTGCCCCCCTTTCGGGGTTAACGACCCCCGCTGGCACCCCAGGGGTTAATGCCTGCCCCTTGGGGGTTACTGTCCTCCCCCCCGTGGCACTCCAGGGGTTAATACCCCCCCTCTTTGGGAATTAACACCCTCAGTGGGGGCATCTCCAAGGTACCCGGGGGGGTACATAACCCTCCAGGGGGTTAATGCCCCCCTCCCCAAGGGGTTAAACACTCGCCAAGGGGTAATTCTGCGCACCCCCCCGCGAGGGGTGAGGGCCCCTTTCCCCCCCCCCCCGAGGTCTCTGCCTCCCCCAGGCCCGGGTTCCCCCTCAGGGGTCGCGGTTCCCCCTCGGGGGTCGCAGCCCCCCCAGACAAAGCCGCGGGGGCACAAAGGGCGGGGGCGGGGCGGGGGTTAACGGGCCGCCGCCCGTCACCCTGGAGACGGCTCGGGGGGGGGCCTTAAAGGGGCCGCGTCACCGCGGGCACCGGGCGGGACATGGCCGCAAGGGACATCGCTCCGCTGCTCGGGCCAGCCCGCCGAGGAGAGGCTGCGACCCCACCCTGGGGATTTGGGAGCCCTCACAGCCACGAGAGGCTGCCAGCCTTGTGGGGAGGGGGATACTGTGCGGTCCCCATAGCTGAGTTGTGTTCCCCCACTCACCCCATTGGTGTCCTGTGTGTGTCACCCCAGAGATGACATGTGTGCTCCCACCAAAGGAAACCTACTTGTATGGCCCCACACGCCCACACTGCCGTGTGTTGTCCCCCCATGTGTGTTGTGTCACCCCATGGATGCTGCGTGTTCCCCCCTACAGCCATGGGTCACCCCCTGCCAGCCCCACGGCCCTGTGGCCACGTGCCATGAACGGCGGTGTCAGCAGTGGTGGCCCTGGTTGTGGCAGGAAGGACGGGGACACCCCATGTGATGTCACTGCAGGCAGTGCCGCGTCCCCCAACATGGAGGAGCCACTGCGGCAAGTCTGTGATGGGACTCTTTAAAGATGTGCTCTTTAAGCCCGCAGCTAATTGCAACCCCCCCCCTCCATCCTGCATCCTTCGGGAGGATACACAGAGGGTGGGACCCTCAAATTCTCTGGTTTCTGCTGCCCCATCTCTGGAAGTATTCCAGGCCAGGTTGGACAGTGTTTGGAACAACCTGGGATAGTGGAATATGTCCCTGCCTGTGGTAGGGGATGGGACTGGATGTGCTTTAAGGTGCCTTCCAACCCAAATTATTTGTGGGTTCTTTGATTTGATGAAATGCCCTCTCAGACTGGGTTTTGCAGCTGGACACAGGCATGGGCTGTGCTGGAGCAGGAGGAGCCGGAGAGTGGCCATTTTGTGCCATTGGACACCCAATGGCAGCTGCCCCGGGGTGCCCACGGGGGTGACCCCACCTTGAGGTGAGCCCTCCCTCACCTGCCTTGCAGCTCCTGGCGCGGATCGAGCGCATGGAAAGGCGGGTGCAGCTGGTGAAGAAGGACAGCGAGCGGGAGAAGCACCGCATCTTCCAGGGCTTTGAGGTGGATGAGAAGCCGGAGGCGGAGGCGTGTGAGAAGCTGCCTCTGGAGTGTCCCCAGGACTTACTGGAGCCTCCCCCGACCCTGCAGCCCAAGCACTTCCCCTACGGCAGGAATGGGAAGGGGCATAAAAGGTACAAGAGTGCATGGGGCGGGCTGTGTGGGGAGAAGGGGGAATGCTTCCTATGGCTTCACCCTCTGTTTGTGGGGCTGGCACTACCCAGCAGACTTTGAGGTGTTTGGAGAGGCCACCCAGCACCAGGAGCACGTCCCTGTGTCCAGGAGAACCTCAAGAAAGCCTGTGTGGGGAGTCCAGGGTCCCAAAATGCTGGGGGAGCCCCTCTGTAAACTGCTTAAGTCTGGCCCTGGTGCAGCAGCCCTGGTTTGGGGGTGCCAGGAACCCCCCCCAAGTGGCCCTGGTGCAGTGCCTGGCTCAACTCCTCTTCCTCCTGCAGGAAGCCAGCGTTCGGGAGCACGGAGAGGAAGACGCCTGTTAAAAAACTAGTGTCAGAGTTCTCTAAAGTGAAGAGTAAAACTCCAAAGCACTCACCAGGGAAGGAGGAATCGGGTGGCTCCTTGGCTGAAACTGTTTGTAAACGAGAACTGCGGAGCCAAGAGACTCCGGAAAAACCCCGGTCGCTCCTGGAGACCCCACTCAGAGCGTCAGCCCCGCCGAAGGGCCCTGGCACCCACCCCAAGGAGAAAGGCTTTGTCAGCGAGGCCGACGACCTGCCCTATCTCTCCACCACCGAAATGTACTTGTGCCGCTGGCACCAGCCACCCCCATCGCCGCTGCGGGAACCTTCTCCGAAAAAGGAGGAGACTGTAGCAAGTAAGGATGGAGAGAACGAGGGAGAAGCTGCTGGGGCTGAGAGCGCTGAACAGGGCTCGGCACCCTCATTCTGAATCTGGGGAAAGGTTCCCAGATTGCCGAAGGGAGTGCCCGTGGTGCTGGGAAAGGTGTCACGCTGCTGGCTCCTTCCACTGCGGTGGGTGCTGGCTCTGGGCTCTCCCCAGTCTCATCCTGGGCTCACGCCGCTCTGGGAAGGGCTCCTGGCTGGTGTCTGTTGGAACAAGCGGTGAAGCAACTTCCTGTGGGTGGGTGGGAAACGTGTCTCTGGCTCATGCCGTGGTGACACAGCACTGGGGTCATCTGCTGTCCCTAAATCTGCTGCTTGTCCTGCCTTGAGCCCAGCCAGGTTGGTGTGGATGGGAGCTGGGCTGTGCCGGGTGGCTCAGCGCTCTGGCTCAGACAGAGCCCAGCACATCCCGGGGAGTGGCTCAGCTTTGCTCATGTGCTGGACCAGGGGGGTGGAGATGAGCTCTGCTGTCCCTGACAGCTCACACTGCTGGCTCAGGACGGGCGTTTGGGGCATCCCAAGCTCTGCTCTAAGGGAAAGGATGGGCAGGAAGGGAGCAGTGAGGTGGTGGGATGCAGCAGGGGCCGTGGGGATTCCAGTGTGGGGTAACACCCTCCTTGTTGTCCTGCAGTTCCTTCTTGGAGGAACTACGTCGTGGAGCCCCTGAGAGACCCCAACCCCTCGGACCTCCTGGAGGTACGTGAGCCATTGCAGCTGGCAGTGCCACAGGGGCTTTCCAGGCTCTCCCACACTCCCAAAGCTGGTGGCATCTCATCCCCTGATCCAGCATCAACCCTGGCTGTGCTTGGTGGGGGGCTGAGGTGGCGGATCTGGCCCTGGGATGATGTACTGATCCCCGTCTGGTGTTGTTGCAGAACCTGGACGACAGCGTCTTTTCCAAACGGCACGCAAAGCTGGAGCTGGATGAGAAACGAAGGAAAAGGTGGGAGCAAAGAGAGCAATGGGGGTCTGGAGTCCCTGTCTCACAGGGGAGGGTCCTGTGGTGTCACCTTGGAGCAGGGGACAGGGCAGGGTGCAGCTGGGATGGGCACCAGGAATGCTGCAGGAGGAGGGATGCTTTCACATCACTGCAGCCAGTGCAGCCCCGTGATCGCCTTGGGGGAGTCTGGCACTACCCGTGGCTCCTCACTTTCCCAGCCATCCTGTTTTCCAGGTGGGACATCCAGCGGATCAGGGAACAGAGAATCCTACAGCGGCTGCAGCTCCGAATGTACAAAAGGAAAGGGATTCAGGAGTCGGAACCTGAAGTTACCTCATTTTTCCCTGAGCCAGATGATGGTGAGGCTTGGGAAGTGGGTGTTGGGTGTGGGGCTGCAGACATGGGGCGGGTCTCACACTCTCTGGTGTCTCTCCACAGTGGAAAGTTTGCTCATCACCCCTTACCTGCCCGTTGTCGCCTTTGGCCGGCCTTTGCCCAAACTGACCCCACAGTGAGTACTGGGAGCAGGAGGGGACTGGGCTGGGGAGCACCGGTGTCACTCCTGGGAGGGCACCCTGCCCATTTTGGGTCTGCATGGCGCTGCAGTGACACCAGTTGTGCCCACAGGAACTTCGAGCTGCCCTGGCTGGACGAGCGCAGCCGCTGCCGGCTGGAGGTGCAGAAGAAGCAGACGCCGCACCGGACCTGTCGGAAATAAGGGAGGTGCTGGGAGCTCCAAACACCTCCAGGAGCTCCGTGTGTCCTCGGGGGGGCTCTGAGCACCTCTGTGGCACCAGAAGCTCTGCCATCACCGGGTCACCACCAGCTGCTGCCTGCTCCGTGCTGACAGATGGTTCTGTTCTGTGATCCCAGTTTTGTTCGTTTGGGTTTTGGAACGTTTCCTGGACTCGTCCCCCGCGCTGGCGCCGGCTTCCCAGTGCCACCGGCCAGCAGCTCCCGTCCGTGGGGCAGCGGGCAGATCCCAGCCCCGTCCTCGAGTCCCCCGTGTGCCGCCCCTGCACTCTGCAGCCCGTGGCCTTGGGATCTGGGGCTCTCACCGTGTCCGGTGCGAGCACGGGGATCACCAGCACCAGATCCCGTGTCTGGGGGTGCCACGTCCCCCGGGACTCACCCGCTGCTGCCTTCATGTTGTGTTTAGTTAGAAAGCAGGATAAACAGCGGATTGTGTTGGAGCCGGCTGGGGCTTGGGAACTGGGAAGCGCCTGGGATTCTCTTTTGGGAGGTTTCCCCCTCTTTGGGGGTTTTCCTCTCTAGAGTGGGTTGGCGGGGGCAGAGGGGAGAGTTAAAAAGCAAAAATTAATTTTTTTTTTTTTTTTTTGGTGAAATAGAAACCCTGTGCGCACAATTTGGGGGGTTTTAATGTTTTTTTTAAATGTAATTTAAATGTTTTGAGGCGGGCAAGGGGTTTGCTGTGAGGGGGGGCGATTATATTGCCTGTCCAATGCTCCTGGGTGCTGCTGGACCCTTTTGGTGCTGGATGGGTGGGGAGGGGCTCCATGTGTCCCCTTTTCCTTTTTCGTCTTTTTTTCTCTGTTTTCTCTCCCTGTCTTCCCCCATTTTTCCTCACCCTTTCCCCCTTTTTTTCCACATTTTTTCCTCCTTTTCCCCCCTTTTTTCCTCCCCCTGCACTGAGCCTGTGCCCCCCCCCAGTCTTATCCCCCACTGCCCCCCTTTCTGTAATTAACCCCGAGCTTATTGAACGCCTGAAAACTCGTTTACAAAAAAAAAAAAGACTTAGGAAAAAAAAAAAAAACTTTAAGAAAAAGAAACAAAACTTTAAAAAAAAAAAAAAACCTTAAAAAACCCGGAAATTGTTAAAAAATCGATAAAGTTCTAAAACCACCGAGTTCTAAACACGTTACGGGAGCGGGTGGGGTCACGCGCGGACACGCCCGATCGCTGGTTTTATTTTATTATTTTTTATTGCTTTTCGTTGTTGGTTTTTTTTTGTTTTGTTTTGTTTTTGTTTTTTACAATAAACAAGGAAAAGGCTGCTGGGTGCTGGTGTTTTCCCCCTCCCCCCCTATTTACCCGCCTTCGCGTGTGACGTCATTTCCGCGGAGCGGTGACGTCAGCGGCGGGCGCGGCGCGCGCCCCCTGGCGGGCGGCGGCGGGGGCAGCGCGGTACCGGCGGGGGGCGCCGCGCGCGCCGTTCCCGTGGTGCCCCGCGGCCAAGATGGCGGACCGGCGGCGGCAGCGCGCCTCGCAGGACAGCGAGGACAGCGAGGGTTCGGCGGCCTCCGACAGCGCTGCCTCCGCTCCCGGTTCCCCCCGCTCCGCCCGCTCCCGCTCGGGCTCCGGATCCCGCTCCGGGTCCGGCTCGCCCCGCCTGCCGCACCGCCCGCCGCGCGGCGCCGCTGGGGCTCTCGGCGCTGGGCCGCGGGGCCGCGGGGCCGAGAGCGCCGGTGGGGCGGGGGGGAAGAGCGCGGCCGAGTCGGAGTGTGTGAGTGAGGGGCTGGGGGGACCTCGGGAACGGGAGCCTCCGGGGTCTGAGTGTGGCCGGGGGGAGGTCGGGGAGCCTGGGGACACTGAGGGCCCTGGGGAGGGGTCTGAGGGCCGTGTTCTGGTGTCTGGGGAGATCGCGGGGGGCCCTGGGGAAAGGAGGGAGGGGGCTGAGGGATGTTCTGGTGTCTGGGGGTCCCGGGGGGAAGATGGGGGGATTGAGAGAGGGGTTCTGGTGTCTAAGGAGGGCCCTGGGGAGGAGTGGCAGGGCTGAGAGGCTCTGGTGTCCGGGTGGCGTGGGGGAAGCTGGGGGGCTGATATTACACCCGTGGGGACACTGGGGACAGAGTGGAGGGTGGAGAGCTGAGGGAGCGCCGGTCGGGGGAGTTGGGGGAATTACCATGAACCCTCCCACAGTGTGTGTGGGAGAGCTGGGCTGGGGCAGTCTCAGGTGGGGAGGGCACTGCAGCCCCCCAGGACCAGGCAAGGGGCTTTGCTCTGGCTCCCTGTGCCCCATAGCTTGATCTCCCCAGTCTGAGGTCCCTGCTCCTGGGGTCCCTGCAGCAAGGGCAGGTGGAGGGTGGGTGCTGCTGTCTGCACCCGCCGTGCAGTCCTGTTCTTGCAGTTTACATCCAGCTGCGATTCCCTTCTGCTTTGGGTTCTAATGGTGGTTATTTCCAGCTCTTTCCTGTTTTGGGTTCCAGGGCTGGTTATTTCCAGCTCCCCCTGACTCCCTGTGTGTTTTTCTCTGGTGGTTTTGGGTTTATCTTGTTGCCTTGGTCAGGTTGTTTGTGCTCTAGGGTTGTTTTTCCTGTACTGTTGGGTTCATCTTTGTTTTTATGCTGGAATTATGGACTGTTTTGGTTTTAAAGGAGCCTTAAAAAACTAAAAAAACTCATCCAGTTCCACCTTCTACAGTGGGCAGGGATGCTTTCCACTATCCCAGTTTAATCCAAGCCCTGCCCAACCTGGTCTTGGACACTTCCAAGGATGGGGCAGGCACAGCTTCCCTGCGCAGCAGTTTTACTGAGCACTGTTCCTGCTCTGAGCTGTTCACTTCATCCAGCCCCTTCCCTGAGCTGGGTCCTGCTCAGCCTCTCTGTTATTCCCTGTTTTTGCCCTTTCCCTGGCTCTTGGTTGGTGAGGGAAGGATCCTGGCTCCCCGTCACTGTCACTCTGTTCCCTGGAGACCCCCAGCACTCACAGGCTGTGATTTGCTCTCAATATTCCCCCACTGTGGCTGCTCTAGAAGGTTCTTGGAGAAAGGCTCTGGGAGCCTGGAATTTTTTACTTGTTCACTGCAGCAGAAGTTCCAAGGGTGGATGCAATAGGGTCAGGGCCAGACCTTGCTGTCCTCGTGTCTGGGATCATGGGATGCTGGGTATTAGGAAAAATAGACATTAGGACAGAAGAGCAGCTGTTAGGAAAAGGTATTAGGATAGTGGATACTAAGAAAGTATGTTTTGAGGGAAATTTTTTTCATGGAAGGTTTGGTCAGGCACAGGCTGCCCACGGAGTGGTGGAATCCCCATCCCTGAAGTGTAAAAAAAGCGTGGATGTGGCTTTTGGGGACATGGTTTAGTGGTGACATGGGGCTGGTGCTGGTTGAAGGTTAGACTTGATCTTAAAGATCTTCTCCAATCTAAACAGTTCCATTATTCTGTGGTTTTGAATCCATGATTCCATGTTGCTGGGACCTGGCTGCTGCCCTCCCCTCCTCTAACACCCCTTTCTTTTCTCTCTCTGCAGGAAAGTGAGGATGGCATCGAAGGAGATGGTGAGTTATGGCTCTTGGGCAGGGTTGTTTTTGTGCAAAAAAAGTAAAAACCAGACAAAACAGCTTTTCCAACAATCCTCTGATTGTTGCCATGCCAAGTACTCGTTTGTGACAGCAGGCAAACATATCCCAAACTCTCTCCTGCTTCCCCCTGAGCTGGTTGTGGCATTGATCCAGGGTGGTGCTGGCATCCAGATTCCCTTTGGAAGGGGTTTGGTCCCATGGCAGAGGAGCCTTGTCCAGCCCTGCCCTGACCCCACCTCCTTTCCCTCCCCACAGCCGTGCTCTCCGACTATGAAAGCGCCGAGGACTCGGAGGTAAGGCCGATCTCTGTCCTGCTGAGCCATTGATTCTCATGGAATTTCAGCACCAGCCCAGTTTGTGTCCTTGGATCTCTTCCACTGACCCCTCTGTCTCCTGAGGAAAAGGCCTCCCCCAGTCCCAGCCCCTGGCACTGGGACCAGTGTAAGGCGAGGAAAAACCCTTCTGGCTCCTCACACTGGGAACTGGATTTGCTGTGGCCAGGAAGGGTGTGGGAGGAGTGTGGGATGCTTGTTGGGTTTTAATTAGTTGGAATTAAAAAGCAAAGTGGTGGTTGGGAGCATCCCAGGAGCTTCCCTCTGTTGTGAGGGAGCAGCCGGAGGGGGGATGCACTTTGGGAGCTGGGGGATGCTGAGGGATCCCATCCCACCCGTGCCTGGGGGCTTCAGGTTCCCATGGATTTTTAGTTCAGAACTCTATTATAAAGTTTGAGATGTACAGGGAGTTTAGAGAAGTTCTGGTCTCTAAGGAATATAATGAAGGCTTTCTAAGGAAAATCCATCTCTCTTTTGGGAATCTTGAGGGAAACAGTGGCTAGTGTACATCCAAACCACTAGGCAGAGGAAATCCAAGCTGTTTATTTGGGAATTAATCTATGTTATTAACAAGGAAGGAACTCTGCAAGCTGCAGGGGTGATGAGGCATCTCCCAGAGCTCTTCCAGCCTGGAATCCCACGTGGAGGCTCCCGGTGGCAGCGGGGTTGTTGCATCATTGCCGTGCCAGGATGACTCTGTTCCTGTACCTAAAAATAATGCCCAGCCTGGGCTTCCCCGGCGTAAACACCGGGAGCAGCCGATGTGCAAAGGCTGTGTTGAAAGAGGAAAATGGAGCAGGGTTTGGTTAATCACCCCGAGCTATTTTTAGTTCGGCTCCAGCCTCCGGAGGCTCCTGGGGGTGAAACCAGGTCATGCTCCTGAGCAGAGTGAGTCAGCTGAGGAACTCCAGGGAATTTGGAAACGTGGCCCTGGCTGGATCCAGGCCCTCAGTGTGGAAAGAAGGACCTGAGATCACCAATCTTCCCAGTGTGCATGAGCCTTTTTGGGGTGGTCGGATGCCGCATCTTTGTGGGGCAGGTGATCCCAGTTCCATTCCAGAAAGCCTGTTGAATCCTCCCTCTCTTGGGAGAGGTTGGGTTTAACCTTTGCTTTTCCTGTAAAAATATGGGGATAGGAAGAATTCTAGGAGCTAATTGTCTGCTTTGGAAGAGTCACATCTAACAGCTGGAACAGGGATCTAACTCCAGAACTGAGGGAATTTCTGGGTGATCTGTTGCTGGATCTGACTCCAGATTTGGGGAGATTACTGGCAGATCTGTTCCTAATGGAGCATGTTTGAGTCACTGGGTGTCTCCCAGGCAGAGGAAGAGGATTACAGCGAGGAAGAAAGCTCCAAGGTGGAGCTGAAGCAGGACAGCAACGATTCCTGCGAGTCGGCAGCCAGAGGGGAGAAGGGGAATGAGAAGGCGGATCCCAAGGGAGCGGTGACGGGCGAGCGGCAGAGCGGGGACGGGCAGGTGGGTGTCCCACGGCTCCGGGCTGGGGGCTGGCAGCAGGACTGCTGCAGTGGTGAGAGCTCCCTGGTTCTGACAGGAGAGCACGGAGCCTGTGGAGAAGAAAGTTGGGAAGAAGGTTCCCAAGCACCTGGACGACGATGAGGATCGGAAGAACCCGGCGTACATCCCGCGCAAGGGGCTCTTCTTTGAGCACGACCTCCGAGGGCAGACGCAGGAGGAGGAGGTCAGGTATGTGAGTGTCCCCCTGGGGCTCTGGGAGGGGCAGCTTCCAGGCCAGCGTCTGGCAGCAGGGCTCCTTGTTTCAGTGGGATGCTCTGGGAAGGTCTGTGCTTCTGTTGCCTGCTCTGTATCCTGTCAGGACACTTCAGCTCTTTGTTTTGAAGGAGAGATGCAAAAAATGCACCAAAAAAAAAGCCTCACGCCAAGCAGCAGTGACTCTTTGAGCTGCTTTTTCCAAATAGCAGTGGGTCACCAGCAGCTCCTGGGCAGGAGGAGCAGGAGGATGGAGGGATGCTGCGTCCTGTGCATTCCCTGCCCCAGAAACGCTCGGGCTCTGTTTGTGGAACTGCTCAAAACTGCCAAATCTTGGCCTTACAGCTCCGTGCTTCTCCCTGTGTCCCTTTTCCAGGCCAAAGGGTCGTCAGCGGAAGCTGTGGAAGGACGAGGGGCGCTGGGAACACGACAAGTTCCGTGAGGATGAGCAGGCCCCCAAGACCAGGCAGGAGCTGATCGCGCTGTACGGATATGACATCCGCTCAGCCCACAACCCCGACGAGATCAAACCCCGCAGGATGCGCAAACCTCGGTGAGCCCCAGAGTCACACCAGGGCCTGGATTGTCCCAGGAAGAGGGGCCAGGTCTGGAGGTCCAAAGATGGAAAGCTCTGTCACATGTCACGTGTTCTTGGGATTTCTAGATGGGCATGCTGGGGAGGTGTTTCCTGTCACAGTGATTCCTCCCACCCAGGGGTTTGTTTCTAGTGAATTGTTCTATTTTTCTCCCTCAGGTTTGGCAGTCCCCCTCAGCGAGACCCCAACTGGTCCAATGAGAGGCCCCCCAAGCCCCCCAGGCACCAGGGTGCCAAGAGCCCCTCGGCTCCTCCACGGTCCTTCAACAACCGCAGCTCTGCCAGCACTGGCAGGATGCCCCCTGCCAGAAACTACCCCAGGATGGGGGGCTACAAGGAGACCCGTCCAGGCTACCGGGCTTTGGAGGCGACCGTCCCGCACCGGAACGGGGAACAAGCCAAGCAGGAGAGCGGCTACCGCGGGAAACGTGCAGAGCAGAGCCCGTCAAGGGACACGTCCCCCGAGTTGGAGATGGCACATGTCCATGGCAGCCCTGGGAAGGAGGAGGGGGCTCTGGAAAACCAAGCCACGGCTGCTGACGCTGCACAGCCGCCACCAGACAGACCAGTCGAGAAGAAATCTTATTCCCGGGCAAGAAGGACCAGAGTCAAGGCTGGGGAGGCGGGGAAGCTGGCAGAGGAAGTGCCTGCTTCTGAGGGGCTGGCTCCCGCGATTCCGAAACCCACGCCGGCCGAGACCTCCCCCCCGCCAGCCAAGAGCAACTGGGAGTCATCAGTGGAATCCAGCGTGGATGGACTTGAGCAGGAGATGAGCCAGATGAACCTGACAGAGCAGAACTGGAGCCCGGGGCAGTCCCAGTTCATCCCGCCCCGGGAGATGAGGGGTAAGTGTCCCTCCTGGTTTTCCAGCAGCCCAGTGCCACCTGATCTGTTGGTCAGAGCTGAGCTGTCTCTGTCCGAGCCCTGTCCCAGGGTAGGTGCAGAATGATTGTTCCTGCTGAGAAAATGGATACAACAGCAGAGAAAAAGGGAAATTAAAAAGTTAAACATTTCAGTGTAGGTGAATAGAATAAGGATTGGGAAGGATGGAAGGATGGATCCTTTCTCTGTGATTGTGAATCAGAGCAAGACTGACCTCTGCTGCAGGAGAGCATGAGATAAGGATCAATAACTGGGCTCTGTAGTGTCCTCTCAGAGCAGGAAGGAACTTTTCCCTGTTTGTCAGTTCATTTCCTGGCACTGGGATTTGGTTGCCAGTAGCCGAGGCCTGGCTGGGATTGGCAAATCCCTTTGTGCCTGGGTGGAGGGAGGGACATGGGGCAGAGTTACTCTGGTGCCAGCTGAGGACAGTTGCAGTTGCACATCCACAGAGAGGTCATCCAGGTATAATTATGCCTTTGCAGAATTAGAGTCTGTTCTGAGAAGTGTTAGAATGCTTCCCGAGGGGAGTAAAACTGGAGCAAGGAGAAGACTTGCTGCTTTCATAAGCATCTGGGAGGCTGAGGTCATGGAACCAGAAGTCATTTGGTACTGGTGGGACTGTGAAGTCTGTGAGAACAGAACCCTGGACAGGCTGGAAACGTCACACTGGGATGAGAGTTCAAAAGTGCTGAGATTGTCTGGTTTGGGTTTTTTTTAATGCACAAAAACGAAGCATCTTCCCAAATTTTTACAGGCCAGCTCTTGGCTGCAGGTACATGATCATGTTCTGCTGTGAGAAGGATGATGACTGCTGTCCCTTTTTTGTCCCTAGCAGAGGAGGGAGGAGTTATTCTGGGAAGCATTTGGCTCAAGTCAGTTCATTCTGTATCCCTCTGCCTGTACTGGTGCTGTCGGTGATCCATGAACACTTCCAGTGTTTGTTTTATCCATTTTTACTCCCTGGAATCACCTGTGATCACCGTGGCACTGTGGTTTTGAGCCATGGTTTAAAATTCACTTTGCTGTGAATTCACATGGATTCAGTTTGCTGTTTGAATCTAAAGGAGCCTGTGATAAAAGTGTTTACATCCTGCAGAGGGTTTAAACTGCAGCTGCAGATCCCACATGGACCCTTGATCCACCTGGAAGAGATCCGTGTCTCAGCAGACACAGAGCTCAGAGCAGGACCTGAGTTTCAAGCTGGGGGTTTAGTTTTGAAGCAGGATTTAGGCATTTCTGAGCACCGTGGGTGAGCGTGCAGTGACAAAACAGCCTCTAATTTGTCCCAAAAATATTTAAAATCACCCGGGTGATGAAGTCCAAATGTTCTGTGTCATGGGAGCGAGAGCTGAGCCACAGCCACACCCCCGGGCGAGACGGCTCCGGCCTGGGAACCAGCACAAACCACAGTAATAAGCAGTCTGTTCCTTCCTCAGGTATTCCCAACCATATGCACGTGGGAACTGGGCCACCGCCGCAGTTTAACCGGATGGAGGAGATGGTAACGCGTGATCCCGGAGCGTGACTCCGGCTGCGCGGCGCGCGGGAGACGGGCTCTAATTGTCTTGGGGTTGTGGTAATTACAGGCTGTTGATGTCTCAGCCTTTCCCTTGTGGGGGTGTTTGGGGGTGACCCAGGGGAGGTTTGGGTGGGTCAGGAGTGTCGGGTGGGTGCCTCACAGTCTCTCTGACCCCTGGATTCTCACAGGCAGTGCCGGGGGGCCGTGTGAAGCGCTACTCATCGCAGCGGCAGAGACCCCCCGTGCCTGAGCCTGCGCCCCCCATGCACATCAGCATCGTGGAAGGGCACTACTACGACCCATGTGAGTGTTTCCTTCCTGCTCCTGTGGCTCCATGTGTGCTCAGAGCTGAGCAGCTGGAGCAGGGATCCCCCCACTCCTGTCAGGGTTGGGACTTTGTCTCCTCTTTTGTTTGTTGTAGTGGCCCAGTGTCCCCTCACACAGTGTCTCTAAGGCAGCTGGGAGCCTGCTTGGTTGTATTTAAACCCATGGAATTATCCTCAGTGTTATTCCCCTCTCTGTACCAGGGCTCTTAGCACACCCCAATTCTTCCCAAGAACTGGGATTTAAATTGAACTTTAAGTCAGGTCTTTGACGCTTGAGCATGGGGAGAACAGGACTGGGGATGGATTAGGAATTCCCTCCAGCATTTAAAGTGTTAGAGAATAAATTCCCTGAGTATTTTTCTAGTTTCTGAAGAGAGTAGAAGGCTTTTCTTTAGGGAGCTTGTGGCATCTGTGAGCCCGGGAGCCTCTGTGTGCCGTGGGAGCCCTCGGGGCGGGCTGGGCTGTGTGTGCCAGGCTGCAGGGGAATGAAATTCCATGGAGCTTTTCCTCACAGCCTGTCATGTGTTGTTGCAGTACAATTCCAGGGACCAATCTACACCCACGGTGAGAACCCAGCCCCGCTGCCGCCCCAAGGGATGATTGTGCAGCCGGAGATGCACCTCCCTCATCCAGGTGAGGAGCCAGTGGGACACTCCTGGACCTGGGGAACAGAGAGCTCTGCTCATTCACAGCCTCTCTTACAGGGGGGAATCCATTTTCCTTAATTTCTACAACATGGAAGAGACCTGTTCCCTCCTGCAGTGAGGCTGAACCAGTATCAGTTTTAAGGAAAACAAAAATAGGTGTTGCTGGAGCTTCCAGACAGTGCAGGATGACGGGAACTGAACCTTTGGCACCTCCCAGCTGGATATTTGCAGGTCCCTGAGGGGCCTCACCAGGCTGGGCCACTCCCTTCTGTGTGCACTGGGCTGGTTCCTCACTCCCTGGCCCTGTAGCTCAGGAAAAAGCAGAACTGGGAGCTGTCAAACATGTTCTCTGCTTGCCCACACAAATCGTTTCCTGCAGTGGAGTTGCAGTGGGGCCATGTCTGGTTCCGGTGAATCCAGAGCTGGGGAGGGAGCTGTGCTTTGCTGCTCTGTGTCCCTCCCCAGCGTGGGGCTGCAGCCTTGGAGCAGAGCGTGCTCCTTCCTGCTGCTGCCCAGGGATGCTCTGGCTTTTTGGGTGACGTCCGTGTGCTTCGCGTCACCTGCAGGTTTACACGCCCACCAGACGCCCCCTGCCATGGCAAACCCCGGCCTCTACCCCCCACCAGTGTCCATGCCCCCGGGCCAGCCCCCGCCGCAGCAGCTGCTCACTCCGACTTACTTCTCCGCCCCTGGAGTGATGAATTTCGGGAATCCTGGCTACCCCTACCCCCCTGGAGCTCTGCCCCCTCCGCCCCCTCCTCATCTCTATTCCAACACGCAGGTAAGCCGGATGCGCCGCGGCTCCTTCCCAGGCAGGAGCAGATGATGGGATGTTGTGGAGTGTGGGGTGTGCTCTGTGAGGTGTTCCTGGGAGGGGATGTGGATCAGCTGTGCTGCTCCATGGGGAAAGGCTGCTGTCATCCCACAAAGGATCGTTCTCATGGCTGCTGTGCAGCTCCCTGAGCATGGCAGGCAGTGGGTGAAGTCCTGTCCTGGGGGGTCTGGAATTGAGATGTTCCCTTATGGAACAGTCCCTCCAGAGCCCTGCTGAGCCAAGGATACCTTGGGAATGGCTTTGGAAGTCAGCTCTGTTTGAGATGGAGGCTGGGAACTGGCTGGTGTGAGCAGCCTGGGGATGGATTTTCTTGCTCCATGGCCCAACTCCATATCTAAGGTCACTGCCAGGCAGCCAGGAGGCAGATTGGATTGGGTCTCTGAGGAGGCAGATCAGATCACATCCCTGAGGAGGCAGATCAGACCAGATCCTGTAGGGACATGGATCAGAGCAGACCAGATTCCTGAGAGGAGGCAGATCACATCCCTGAGGAGGCAGACTGGATTGGATGTCTCTGAGGATCAGACCAGATCTGATCCCTGTGAGGAGGCAGATGTAATCCCTGAGGAGGCTGATCAGACCAGATCCTTGAGAAGGCAGATGAGACCAGAGCAGACCAGATCCTGGCGCCGTGGCTGGAGCAGGGCTGACACGCCGTGGAAGGCTGGAGAGCTGCATGTTCCCTGAGCTCCCAACCATCCCTGCCCTTCCCACTGCTCCAGCTGATCCTGCCATGACCTCACCCTGCTTTGAGGGCAGTTTTCCCCCAGGCTGCAGGGCTGGATGTGCAGGGGAGCTGTGTCCAGGTGGAAAAGCTGCTGTTGGGAAGTTCAGGCATTCCATGGGCTGCGGGGTGAGGGAATCCCATCTGCACAGGCTGTGTCCTGTTCCTGCCAGAGTGGGGGGACATTGGTGAGGGGTGGGGACACACAAGGGGCCTCGGGAGCTGGTCTCTGGGGGACACAAAGCCCCTCTTAGCTCTGGCTGGGGGCAGCTGTCCAACCCCAGTGGGTGCTAGGAGGGGCTGCCAGGGCCCCCCAGCCCGGAGCTCTGATCCTGCTGCTCCTGCAGGCGCAGTCCCAGGTGTATGGGGGGGTCACCTACTACAACACTGTCCAGCAGCAGGTGCAGCCCAAGCCCTCCCCGCCCCGCCGGACGTCCCAGCCTGTGACCATCAAGCCACCCCCTCCAGAGGTACCATCCCCTCACCGTTGGTCCTTGCGTGTGTGTGTTGTCACTGGTCTGTGTGTGAGGCTGCAGTTCCCCCCTCCCATCCCAAAAAAAATAACGTCATTCTTTTGTAAGGGGAAGTCTTAAACTGTCTCACCTCTGACCTGTCCCAAACCTCAGCTTCTCGTTGCAGGTGGTAAGCAGGGCTCCAGTTAATTTGAGTTACTTAAATCTTTAAAACTAAAACCACGTAAAAAGTAAGTCTGAAGTTGATTCTTTTTTATTTTATTTGCTCAGGGTAGAAAACAGGACGATTTTGAGAGGGAAAAATCCAGCCCTGGCTGGAGGAGCTAGGAGGCAGGGAGTTCTCTGGAAGGATGAAGGTTGAGAACTCAGCAGAGTTAAAGTACTCAGTACAGTAGAGTACTTTAACTCAGTAGAGTTAAAGGTTTTTCAGGATGCGAGTGCTTCCCTGTGCTGGGAATGGTCTCCTTGCTCCAGTGCTGTGAGCTGTGCATGTGTGAGCGTGCTGGAATGCCATGTGTATTTTTGGTTTCCCTTTCCATACCTTCTTCATGTATGGGAGCCAAGCAAGCCCAGACCCGGGCAGGCATGTGCCGGTGGGTTCCTGTACATGGGGAGGGCTGAGAAGCAAATTGTCTGGTGGAGGGGCCCTGGAAAAGCCTCGTGGTGGAAAAATCTGGAACCATGAGGAGAGGCTGGCACAGAGAGGCGGGTGGGGGGCTTGCCACCCACAGGGGGTTGCTGGCAAGAAGCAGCCATAGCACTGTCCCCCCCATGCAGGGGTTTGGGGGGCCCTAAACCTCTGCTGCTCTTCCCTCTTCCCCCCTTCCAGGACAGCAAAGGTGAAAAATCAAAGGAGAGGAGCAACACGTAGGGACACGGCCACAGGAATCCCAGCACCAGACTCGGCCCCTCGGCGAGGAGGAAGCTGCTCCTTGGAATGGCTCCTTCCCTGCGTGGAGGTGAGGCAGCGGGATGAGACACCTGCACTGTGCCCAGGACCAGGCACTTCCCCCATGGCCTGAGCGGTGCCTTCCCAAAATCCATCTCGCTGCTGCCCACCCCCCTTCTCCCCCGCGCTGGGGCCGCCAAAGAACCAACCCCTGAGTCGGTCCTTGGCCACACGTTCTCCCAACTTCTCCCCGTTACTAAACGTTCCCCACTCCCTCCTGGGATGTCAAACTCTGCTGGCTTGATTGTGGTCTCTGTTTTTATTTAAGGAATGAAGCAGCTCGTTCAGTAAAGCTGATTTGTTTCTTTTGGGTATTTCGTTTTTATTTGTTTGGGTAAGCAGCAATGACATCTCCCCCACCCCAGTTCATTCTTCTTTTCAATTCTCTTTTCAATTAGCAAGTTGATTTCTGCCACTTTTGGAGCAGGGGAAGGGCAATGGAGCTGTGGGAAGCTGTCAGGAATGCACTGCCTGGGCAGGAACCACTTAGGAGCTCCTCCTGATTCCTTTCCCAACAAACTGTTGGTAACTGGCGTGTGTGAGCTCTCTGGTGGGAATCCACAGGGTGACCCCCATCCCTGCCCCCTCCAGCAGTGCAAGGGGACATTTCCACCCTCCCTCTGCCAAATCCACAGAGGGGGAGGTTTGTGGGCAGCCAGTACCCTGACGCTGCCCGAGCAGCCCAGCCAGCACCCAAACCAGCTCGGCAGGGCCAGGTTTGCTCCCAGCACTTGGGTGTTGCTGCTGGGGCTGCAGAGGGTGTTGGAACCCGCCCCAACGCACCGGGCTGGGCTCCGGCCCCACAAAGGAAGCACCTCAGCCCTGCGCCAGCTCCTGCCTCAGTTGCCCATGGCAGCCTTGTGTCCCCTTTGGGGTGACTGTCACCGTGGCTGTGCCACACTGATCCTGGCTGGCTCTCCTGTGCCGCAGTGCTGCCGCTCTGCATCCCGCATCCCGCCAGCCCCGCAGCTCCGGCCCTGCTCCGGCTCCGGTTTGGCCACATCCTCGCAGCCGTTTGCAAATTACATTAGGAAACTTGGCAGGGCCGGCTGCTGATTCCTGCCCATTCCTGCAGATTCCTGCTGCTCTCCTGAGCACGTGCCGGGACGCCGTGGGGACGCGCCAGCTGCCGGCGCAGGCACTGGGTGAGGGGGACGTCACCGAGCGAGAGGTGGCTCAGCCACCCCGTCCCCATCTGTGGCCAGGATGGGGGACTGGCACCCACCTGCTTGTTCTCAATGTGGCTCCTTGCTTGGCTCTCCAGCAGAAATTCCTTCTCTCTTTGGTGCTTGTGACTCTGACCTTTTGCATCTTGTTTCAGCCACTGAAGCCACATTCCCAAAGCAGAATCTCCTCACGTTTTAGATGTCACCGTGTGTCATTGACGCATTGGTCACACAAGCAAAATCCTGAACCTTACCACCCCCATGCTGGGGTTTTGGTTTTATTTGGATTCCTATCCTGTGGGATGCACATCCCTAACAGTGCTGTAGGAAGCAGACAGCTCTTGTGTGTCCTTCCTGGGGCTGAGACCCACTGTGTCCATCTGAGTTTCCCTGGCAGGACCACTGCTACCTCTGCTGTCTCCCAGGAACTGCTCGCTCCCAGGAGCCAGACTGTTCTTTCTGAGTACAGCTCTGCCCTTCTCAGGAGCTCACGGTGGGACTGAAATTACGGCTCTGCTGTGCCTGGTGCCAGCCACTCTCGCCCCCACATCCCAGGAAGCAGCTGCCACTCATCCCCAGTCCAGCTCTGCTCCAGTAGCGGGGCTGGAGGGAGCCCCCTTGTCTCTCTGGGGGCTGATGTGAGCCCCCAGCTCTCCCCCAGCCTCACTGGCTCACGGGGAAGGACCAGATGTTGTGTTGGTGGCGCGGGAGCTGCCACCCGCACATTTGCGCTGCCTCCGCCTCGGCAGCCGCCGCCTCCTGCCAGCCCCCCGCTCACCTGCCCACGCCAAATAGGGGTGGGGGGCACGTACCCCACTCCTGCTACACCCTGATCCTGTGGATGGAGCAGCACGGTGACCTCTGCCCTCCTGCAGCCAGGCTGGGCAGGGGAAGGATGCTGGTGGGCCCTGCCAGTGCCATGGTGGAAGGGAGGTTTTGAGGGGCACAGGGATCCCCAACTCCCCCCTTTGCATCCCACCTCCTTCTCCTCCCTTCCCTTCAGGACTCCCCAGTTCCTGCCCTCACTTCTGGCAGTAGGGTGGGGGTCCCAGAGTAGTTCCAACAGCAGCAGCACCAGGAGGTATCACCTTCCTGCCCATATTGCTGTGCTACCCCATCCCTCCCCAGTGCCACCGCCTCAGTTTCCCTCCCTGGCAGCAGGATCAGGTCTGAGCATGGTCCTGGATTTGGCTCAGCCATTCACGGGATCCTCATGGACGAGCTGCCCCAATCTCATGGCAGTTCTCCCCCAAATGCCTGACTCCCTTCTCCCAGCGCTGCAGCTGGGAAGTGGGTTAAGGAGCTGGCTTGGGGAGGGATTTTTCCCGGGGTGTAATTTTTCCCTCCTACACACGGTCTGTTTTGAGCAGTGCCTGGAGGCTTCGCACCCCCGGCTCACTGCCGGGGCGGGGGAATGCGCTGGCTGCCAACCGAGGGAAGCGCCCGCTCCAGATCCCAGCTCATTAGGAGAAATAACAGCAAATTAATTAAGCCAATAGTTTGCTCTGCGCCAGCAGTGCCCCCATCCCTGCCGACATGGGGAGAGGGAATGGGGCAGGCCAGATCTGGGACACCTTTCCCAGGGGGAGCATTGCCCTCAGCATGGCACAGTGCTCCAGGTCCCTCTTGCTCGTGTGGCTCAGTGCATCCCCATTGCCACCAGTGAGTGGGGTCTCAGGGTGTCTCTGTGCCTCAGTTTCCCCTCCTCCTGTCAGGAGAAGCCCCTCTCTGCGTGGCTGAACTTGGCCAGCAGCACCACTTGCACGCGGGTCCGAGAACCCTTGTCTGGATACTGTGGGGAAAGGGGATGGAGGAGCTCAGCAGATTGGGATTTTTGGGGGGTATTGGATGGGGTGTGGGGGATCTGGAGGCTGGAGGAATAGAGGAGGGACGTGCCGGGCCTTGCCGTGCTGTGCCATCCCGGCAGGACCTCATGCAGCTGGGGATGGGGATGTAGGGACGTGTTTTGCCGCTCTCTGGCAGCCGCACGGATGGAGTTGCCAGGCAACTGCCGGGTGGAGGCGAAGCGGGAACAAAGCGGGAGCTGCCGGGACCCTCGTTCCTCCATCTCTACCCAAACCCCCTGGGCAGTGGGGCCCAGCAGAGGCCATGGGGTCACTTGCTGTGTCCCCCCAGCTGCTGCCACCATCCCACCACAGGGCCGTGTTTTTGCAGGGGGTGGGCCAGGGAGAAGGGCACTTGCACCCACTGGCCTGTCCAGAGGGTACAAGGTGGGGCTGGGGGCAGCGGGCATGGGCAGGATGGGCGCTCTGCACCCCGCGGGAGCGGAGCAGGAGGATCAGCCCTAGGCAAGCGCCACATCTCGCCCTGCCCTGCCCCAAAACCTTCCCCGGAACCTGCCCCGGCACGCCGGGGCCCGTTCCAGCCTGGCAGGCGGCGGAGGATGGGGTCTGGCAGCCACCCCGACCTGCCCACCCTGCCCGCGGGGGGGACTCAGCCCCAGGGGTGCCAGGGTGGGGGGTCTCGCACCCACCCCCGGCCTTTTCTCACGCTGCGGCGGGTGCAAAGAGCTGGGCTGGGGGTCCGGGTCACCCCACAGCTGGGGATGTGCTCCCCGTGCAGGGGACACTGGGGAGGGGCAGCACTGGGGAAGGGCGGTGCCATGTGCCCCTGGGCTGGCATGGGGGAACTGTGCGGGTGTGCGGGGGGAGACCGAGCACGGGGGTGTGCCGGGGGTGTGCCGGGGTTGTGAGGCAGCACGTGGCGGGGGGCTGCGGGGCTGTGTCCCCTGGTCGCGGTGTGTGACCGGGGGGTGACAGGCTCTGGGCTGTGTCCCCCCCTGCTGTAGGGTGGAGGGGGGGGCCGTGGTGGTACCCCGAGGATGCGACAGGGGAATGCGGGGAGATGGATGCGGGGGTGTGTGATGCATCACCTGCGCGGGGCTGCGGGGGGTGACCGCGTCCTGCTGCGAGCCGGTGTCACCACAGCCCCGGGGCGGGTTCGGTACCGAGTGCGGTGGTGCGGGGAGGGGGCGGGCAGGTGCCGTTGGCGGGGCCGGGGGGGGCGGCGGGGCGGGGGAAGGGGGGGGGGGGGGGCGGGG